GATCCGCGAGTCCATCCACGCGGAGAAGACAAGCACGTTTGAGGTAAAGAGTTCCGCCCCCGTGACGACGATGAGCAGCAGTCCGATGGGGAATACGCCTCCGAAAATGAGCCTTTGGAGTCCAGGATTGCTCTGCGCCAGCCCGGGAAGGCATCCGCACACCAGCGAGAACAGCCCGCCGATCCCGATGTAGGCGCCGGCCAGAAACGCGTGTCCGACGGTTTCCCAAGGTGAGTGGTTCACCTTCGTAACCGACGTCGCGAGCAGCGCCTCGAACGTGTCGTGGGGAGTGGTGTACGTCGCGACCTGCCACCGCCCTCGCGCAGTCTTTGGCGCTCCCTGGGTGAGCGGGTCGACGACGAACGAAGGCGCAACGGAGCCCGTCGTCGAGCCGAACGAAGCAGAGACGGTGACCGCGGTCGCGCCGGAGAGCCCGACATGGGGTTTGACATCGACGCCGTTGTTGGAGGCGGGCGCGGGCTCCATGGCGGATGCCTGGAGGCTCCCGCCGCGGGGATTCGGGGGCGACTGGAGGCTCCCTCCGCGGGGATTCGGGGGGCTGACGAACGTCCGGTCAACCCCTTGGCGCGGCTCAATCCGGGCCGCCGGGCACTGCAAATCTTGCCCTGCAAACGGCCGGAAAAGGTCCTGCCGCCCACTCTTGCCCCGCGATGAAAACTCTGGAAGAAGTTCTCCCCGACCTCACGGGCCCGGGCCGGCCCTTCGAGTTCGACGTGCGGGACATCGGTCCTCGCAGGAACCTCCGTTGCTGGAAACGCGGACCGCACACGGCCCGTGCTGTTTGGGAGGCCACAGCAACGCACCCTCCCGGATCGGAGTACATCGTCTATTATGGGGACGGGAACCGGACGAGGGTGGCCTTGACGTACGGGGAGGCCTGGGTTGTCGTTGCGAAGCTCGCCTATGCAATGAGGCACCGGTTCGGGCTGAAGAAGGGAGACAGGGTCGGGATCGCCATGGTGGGCTCCTGGAAAGCTTCCGGCGACGGACTTTGAGCTGATTTTCCACCACCGTCTCCCTCCATGCCGGGGTTAATGCCTTGCTCCGAACCCGCCGCGCCGACGATGCCATGTCGCGTGTCCGGGTCGGCAGCGCAACTACGTCTCCTTCCCCCTCGTCTTCTTCGCCGCTCTCTCCATCGGCCTGGTCTGCGTGCCCTTCAACGCGTGGCTACTCTCCCCCGAGCTCCTCTTCTGCATCCGGGACTCTGGCTGCGCGCTGCTCTTCGTCGACCCTGAAAGGGAGGACCGCCTCGCGGCGGTCAAGGACGACGTGCGGGCGGCGGGCGTGCGGAACGTGGTGTTTTGCCGGAGCGGCGCCGCGGAGGATGCGGGCAAGAGGCGCCGGTGGGCCGACCTGGATTTCGAAGACCTGCTGGCGGGTCCGAACGTGGAGATGCCCGAGGAGGTCGTGGATCCAGAGCAAGATTGCACAATCTTCTACACCAGTGGCAGTGAGTCCATCCTGTTGTCCTTTTGCTGCCGTTTGCCAACTCCTTCTGATGTTTGCCCTTGCCGCCTTTCTGACACCTTCTCTCGCCTGCCAGCGACCGGAAACCCAAAAGGAGCCCTGAGCAGTCACCGCCAGGTGGTCACCGTGATCCTCAATATGGAATTCAGCGCGCACGCCAACGCTCTGCGCGCCGGAGGCAAGCCGCCCGCATGGGACGCGAACCGCGGCCGTGTGTACCTCGTCCCGACCCCCATGTTCCACATCACGGCTTGCTTGAGTGTCACGCTGCCTCTGACCTTCTGGGGCGGCAAAGCGATCTACAGCTTCAAGGTTCGGTTGCCGCATGCCGATGCGTCGCTTGGTCTGATCGCCCCGCCGCGCCGCTGCGCAGTGGGACCCCCTGCTCGCCCTCGAGATCATCCAGAAGGAGCGTGTAAACCAGATGACCGGCGTGCCGACGCAGGTCTGGCAGCTCCTCGAGCACCCGCGGTTCAAGGAGTTCGACCTGTCGAGCATGACCGTGCTCGGGTCCGGCGGCGCACCCGCGGCCGCAGCGCTGCCCAAGATGATCGTGCGGCTGGTGCCGACGGCGAGCACCGCCAACGGCTAGTACGTTGCCCGCGAGACGCCCGGCTGGCCCCCGCTGACCTCGATCGCAGCGGCATGACCGAGACCAACGCAGCCTTCATCCGAAACACAGCCGCCGAGTACGCTGCCCACCCCGCGAGCGTGGGCCGCCCCTTCCCCACGCACGACGTCCGCCTCGTGGACGAGGACGGCAAGGACGTCCCGCAGGGCAGCCTGGGGGAGATCTGGGTGCGGGGCCCCTTGGTGTGCAAGGGTTACTTCCGCAACCCGGCCAAGACGGCCGAGGCGTTCACAGAAGACGGGTGGTACAAGACGGGGGACGTCGGGAGGGTCGACGAGAAGGGGCTGTGGTACGTTTCGGATCGGATCAAGGACATGATCATCCGGTATGGACTTTGGTACGCTCTGAGCCTCTCCACAGCTGACACATGGAAATGCAGAGGAGGGGAGAACTGTTACTCAGCCATGGTGGAAAATCGCATCTACGAGATTGTGAGTGGACCTCGCCAAACTGCCCTTCGTCGTTGACAGGCGGTGCCTGCAGCCCGGCGTTTTCGAGTGCGCCGTCGTCGGCATCCCGCACCGCGTGCTGGGCGAGAACGTCGCGGCCGTGGTGCGCGTCACCGAGGACGTCTACGGCAAGCTGAAGGCCGAGGACATCCAGGAACACTGCCGAAAGACAATGGCTTCGTTCATGGTGCCAACGTTTGTCGAGATCCGGAAGGACCCGCTGCCAGTGAACGCGTCGGGCAAGATCCTCAAGCGGGAGCTCAAGGACGAGGTCTACAAGGCGGCGCTGAGGGCCGGCTACGACGACGGCGGGCTGGAAAAGGCCAAGCTCTAGGCAGTAGCATGGGAACACAAGACGAGCTTCCGGCGGACTAGAATGTGCAATTCCGTGCCAGATCGTCCGCTACATTGCTCACGACCCGCGTGGCGCCGTCGGCCAAGGCCGCCCTGAGCGAACGGCAGTCGTCGGCCAACCAGGAGACGATCTCGGCCCCCGCGTGCGTTCCGCGCCAGCGGTCCACAGCCTGGCGCGAGGCACCTTCCATGCAGCGTACGGATGGCATCAGGAGCGACGCCGCACGAAGGGCCTCGGGTGGCACAGGGCACTTTGTACGGTCCAACAGCGGAAAGGCAACCCTCGCACCCGCCGCCGCGTCCGAGGCCGCGTCCGCGGCATTGCTGCTAATCAGGTAGATCGCACGCGCGCGCTGCGACAGCGCCGATGCCGTCTCGGCTATCTCGAGTATCCGCTTCACCAGCTCGGGCCTCTTCTCCGGGCCGGCCTTTGGCTCGACGAGGAACAGCACCGGCGGCCCGTCGCCACGCAGCAGCGGGCTGTGCAGCAAATCCGCCAAGCGAGGTAGCGCTGCGGTGGATTGTGCACGCCCCACGTCCGCGGGGTGGCCGAGGATCGGGGGCCCGCCGTCGGGGTCGGCCGTCACGTCCACGTCGAAGCAGAAGACGCGCGCGGCAAAGAGGGCGGCCACGTTGGCGGAGAGCGCGGCAGCCGTCATCGGCGATGGCGACGGCGCCGTCGACCCGCGGTGCGCGCAGAGCGGGAGGGCGCGCGGCTCCGTTGGTGCTCCGGCGGACGCGTCCCGCGATGCCTGTCCCCGAATCGCGCCCGTACTGTCCGCCGGTGGCTCGGAGGCCGGCGACAAGTACAGGAAAGACACGAGCATCGCGGCCGCGACCAGCAGCGGCAGCGCGCGCGCTTGCGATATCATGCCGGAACTCGGCGCTCGGGCGAGAAGTCATCATTGAAGTTCGACTCCACCGCGCCCTCCGAGCCCACGAGGCGTAGACCGGCATCGGATCACCGTTCCAAAGGAGGAAAGGCACCTAGACGCGACACTTCTTTCCAACCCAGACCCTCACTGCTACTCCAACGGCTCCCACACGAGGATCCCGTGCGCCACTCTCCCGTCCCCGATCGGCGTCGGCGGGGCCTTGAGCACCATGTGCTTCCCATCGAAGCTGATCTCGCGGTGCTGCTCGCCGAGCAGAACCTCGTGCGATGCCGCGTCGGCGTGGTTGAGGAGTCGGTTCGTTTCGTGCCGGACCCTGGCCGCGTAGGCGGCGTACGGCCGCTTCCTCTCCTCGTCGTGGTGCCCGGGCTTGTTGTCGACGACCACCACCATCCCGCGGTCCCCGTTGGAAAGGATCAGCCCCGTCGCGTGCTCGCCGAACGGGTTCTGCCCGACGGGCTCCCCCGACTCGTCCACGGCCCGCTGCTCGACCAGCTTCCACGCCCCATGGATCGACGCGCGCGGCTTGCTCCCCGGGGCGAGCCGGGCCCACTCGAACTCCATCCTGAGGTGCTTTCCGTCGATCTCCCTTGGCGGCGGGCTCAGGACGAGCCGGTCGCCGACCATCCGCGCGGCCCGGACCTGCTGTCCGTTCAACCTAGACCAATCGGAGGAGACGTCCACCGTCGTCACCAACGTAGAGCCGTCGAAGGTGTAGTGGCCTCCGTACGAGGAGAAGGTGCGCGAGTGGCCGTCGGGGAGCTCGGCGCGGCCGTCCGAAAGGACGGCGATCACGCGGTGGTCCGTGATGTGCACGATGCCCATGCCCTCGGGGCCGTAGGGCTCGTAGTGGTGCGGCTCGCCCGAGGCGGCATCGAAAGAGCGCTGGGCGACGAGCCTCCAGACTCCGCGGACGTCCATCGCTCGGTCGTGCAGCTTTGAGTGGGAGACGGAGGCACTTGCCGCCACACAGGCCCCGCCACCGCGGAGGGGGAAATGATCACCGCCCCCAACCACGGTCCATTCCGCTCGGATCGGCTCCAAAATGAGACAGGGCGAGCAAGAAGACCTTTCTTCATGATCGTGGATCTTTGCTTCGAGTCAACGACGAGTTCACCACCCACCCGACTCACCTCGACTTCCCCACTAAGAGTTTCCAATAAGGCCCTGTCACGAGGATCCGCCGTCTTAGCTCAGTTGGTTAGAGCGCGACACTAGTATAATGCGTTTCCACGCATCTCTGGCATGTCGAGGTCTCCAGTTCAACTCTGGAAGATGGCAAAAACCGTTTTGGATCTGTCCGTCATGTCCCTGGGGAACGGGAGAGGAACGGCCACTTTTGATCCTCGGGGGCGTCGGGCGGGAGGGGCACCACGCCTTAAGCTCTGATTGAGAACAGAAGCAGCCACCGTTTCTGCCTTCTCCGCCTATCAATCCGGTTCGAACGGCGGCTCACAGCTCGGAGTGATCGAAGCAAACGAGCTTATGTCACTTCCAATCCAGCTTCTGGCATTCGCTTTTGACGTAAACAGCCAATAGAGAGCAAAGGACATTAGAGTCCATTCATTTGCTGGCGTCGGCGCCACCATTCGCCTCCGCCTCCCAGGCCCTAATAGTTTCGCGTAGCTGGGAAAACCCCCTGCCGCTTCGCCCCGGCCACGATGGTTGGTCTTGCGGGAATCCGTGCAGGAAGCTGGATTGGAAGTGACATAAGCTCGTTTGCTTCGATCACTCCGAGCTGTGAGCCGCCGTTCGAACCGGATTGATGGGCGGAGGAGGCAGAAACGGTGGCTGCTTCTGTTCTCAATCAGAGCTTAGTCCCGACGCCCCCGAGGCTCAACAGTGGCCGTCCCCCTCCCGTTCCCCAGGGACATGACGGACAGATCCAAAACGATTTTTGCCATCTTCCAGAGTTGAACTGGAGACCTCGACATGCCAGAGATGCGTGGAAACGCAGTGTACTAGTGTCGCGCTCTTGTGCGTGTAGGATCGGGACGGGCGGCCGGAGCGGGGGGCCATTCATGATCTGTAGCGACCTTTAACGATTCGTAGCCATCAACAGTTATCCGTTGACCTTGCCATCAAGTCTTTGTGGAGATCAGCCGTCCTGGAGGTGCTGGTGCTGCTGTTTCTACGGCCGGCGCGGCCAGTGTTGCGTGCAGTCACTGTGGCCTTGTCCCCAAGCCGCACACTTGAAAGGATGTCCTGGTTCTCTGCCAAGCCGTGGTCGGGCCTGGCTCCCGTGAAAGGTTCCGGTCACGTCGAAGCCGACCCGTCCGCCGACGATGCGGACGCGGAGCTTGAGGCGGACGATGTGACCGCGGCCCTTTCCTCCGGCGCCGCAGGCGCTTCCGCCGCCGCGGGAGCGGCAGCAGCTTCCTCCTCGGGCTTCCACGACTTTCTCGACAAATCCTTCCTCGGATTGCCGTTCAATCGCGCTCTCGTACTCTCAATCGCCATGCGTGAGCAGTGTGCGGAGAGACCCCGACGAGTCCCTGAAACCGCTATCGACCAGCTCTGGGCTTGGGGATGGCATCTGGGTTCGTTACGCGTACCTCGGTCAAGACGTGGTACAAAGACCTCAAGAAGCCGGAGTTGGTGCCGCCGAACTACCTCTTTCCTATTGCGTGAGGATCTCGGTTCTCGGGGTCACCTTCCGCGCTTAGCCAAATCCTCGCAGCTGGACGACGCTTTACATCTGCATGGGCTACGCGAGCTACCGAGTGTACAACACGTACACTCCGCGGACCATTCTGGAATCGGGGCCTCTGAAGCTCTATCTTGCCCAGCTAACGCTCAACCTACTCTGGAGCCCTCTGTTCTTCTACTAGTGGGCCTCACTCCGTTCTCTTCGGGAGCAGAAGCTCACTTGACGCTGTCTTTACCAGCAAGCGTGTCCGATGGGCCATGATCGACATCTCCGCCCTCTGGTTCCTAGTCGCCGCCACGGGAGTCTCGTTCTTCCGACGCGACAAGCTCGCTGGTTACCTCATGATCCCGTACGCGATCTGGGTCTCCTTTGCGAGCTACCTCAACTGGGGCGTCTTGACTTTGAACCCGGAATGGTGAGATCACGGCCACACACTTTGGACGACTGACGAACTCCGATCTTGGCAGGGCCGACGGGGGCCCAAAGAAGAATCAATGAGTTGATAATGTCGTTGCGAAGGCGGGGCGGACGGACAGGGAAACTGCCGAATAGAATTGACCGATCTAGCTTTCGCTGAAGTCCATCTCTCTCTCGCGATGACTACTCGCGATCCGACCTCGATTCAGGTTCTCATTACACATTGAGTGGTCTCTATACAATCTAACCTCCTAAGGTGTTCACGCCTTGGGCTTGTCATATGCCTGCTCGTGCGCCTTCTGCGCACGTCCGGAAGGATCCTCGGGGCAGCCTGCAAATCGTTGAGTCAGCATAGACATTCGGTCCCGCCCGCTCCGTGGACTCACCCCAATCCCGACGCGGAATCCAGCGAACGATGCTCTCGAGGCACGCCTTCTCCGGGAACATCTGCTCAAACAGGTGGCGGTACCAGTACGCCTCCTTCGTCGTCGGAGTGTCGTGCGGGAAGCGCTCGGCGCGGGCCTCGAATTGTGCGTCCGAGACGGCGGCCTCGGCATGTGCCTTCAGCCCGTCGATCCAGCCGTACCCGACGCCGTCCGAGAACTGCTCCTTCTGCCGCCACAGGATCTCCGGGGGCAGGTAGGGGTTCTCGGGGTCGTCGAATGCCTTCCGGATCACGTACTTCTCCACCTTGTGGAAATAGGGCGCCTGGTTGATGAGCTTGTGGTTGGGCGGCACTTCGGCCATCGCCACGTCAAGGAAGGCCTTGTCCAGGAACGGAACGCGGCACTCGAGACCCCAGGCCATGGTAGCCTTGTTGGCGCGGAGGCAGTCGGAAGTGTGAAGGTTCTGGATCCGCTTAATGCACTCGTGGTGGAACTGCTGGGCATCGGGCGCCGAGTGGAAGTAGAGGTACCCTGCAAGGCCAGAAGGAAGGAGAGTTAGAGACGTTCGCGCTGCAGCATCCCTCCCAAGTCCCCAGCCCCGCCAGCAAGTCAGTGAAGCAGAATTACTGAATCCTCAGATCCGTAGATCGGTACAGGTCTGTGAGTAAATTCGTTCATCATGTTGCAGGCCGTCCCCCTCGGCCGATTGCCAAAGCCCGTAGATGTCCTTAAGATCGCCGACCGAAGCTCACCTCCGAACACTTCGTCGCTGCCCTCGCCACTGAGCACCATCTTGACGCCCATACTCTTGATCCTGCGCGACAGAAGGTACATGGGAGTGGAGGCCCGGATGGTGGTCACGTCGTAGGTCTCGAGGTGCCAGATAACGTCGGGGATGGCGTCCAGACCCTCTTGGAAGGAGTAGGTGTACTCGTGGTGGGCAGTGTCCAGGAACTCGGCGACCTTGCGGGCGTACTTCAGGTCGGGGGCGTTGGGAAGGCCGATGGAGAACGAGTGGGTGCGCGGCCAGTAGTCGATGGCACGGAAGGCGTTGGCTGGAAAATGAGGAGTCAAGCAAGGCGGCGACACGTAGCGCGCGCAGCTCACCAGTTTCGTCGATTTCCTCGGCGTCAGTAGGCCCGTGGCCGTTGGCTTGCTGGTTCTTCATGGCCTCCTCGCGGTACTTGTTGACCATCCGCACCGTGATTGCCGAGATGAGGCTGGAATCCAGGCCTCCCGAAAGCAGCACACCGAACGGCACTTCGGACATGAGCCGCTTCTTCACCGCCCGTTCCAGCGCCACCCTGAGGTTGGTGTACATCTTGGCGTCCTGCTCCGGCGTTTGCTTCTTCTCGAAGTCGGCCGGGGACGGGAAGCCGGAGTCGATGTGGCCGTACCAAGTCGGGTTGTACCACCTCGTGATCTCCTTAGTCTTGGACGAGTAGTAGTTGCCGGGAGGGAAGGCGATGATCCGATCGCACTCCTCGTGGAGGGTCTTCATCTCCGAAGCGAACCAGACAGAGTTGTCCTCGTTGCGCCATCCCATGTAGAGCGTCGTGACACCGATGGGATCGCGCGCCGCGATGTACTCGTTGGTCCTTGCGTCGTAGAGCACGAACGCGAAAAACCCATCGAGCAGGTTGATGAACTTTTCCCGCTGCTCTTCCCACTGGTTCGGCACACAGCGAGGGCAAGACAGTAAGCGTAAAGTCCGCAGCAAGACACGACAAACTGACCAGGTACAAGATGACTTCACAGTCCGAGTGGGTCTTGAAGTTGTGCTGCTTCTGCAGCCGACTCCGAAGCGTTAGGTGGTTGTAGATCTCGCCGTTGACCGTCAGGATGACGGACTCGTCGGCGTTGGTCAGTGGCTGGGCTCCCGAGTCTGCGAGAGACGAAGTTTAGATCCGGAATCAGAGCCGACGGAGAGCCATCCCCACCGACGCCGACAATGGCGAGGCGCTCGTGGCAAATGATGTTGTTACGGATGACGATGCAGCCGTTCCAGTCAGGTCCACGGTGCCGGATGCTGCCGGAAAAGCTGCTCAGAGCCCGCACTCGCTGCTCTGGGGATGTCCCTCACCGCTTCGACAACTGCAGGGCACGTTGCCGGAAGCCCTGGGCATCCGATACCCCGAAGCAGGCAAAGATCCCGCACATCTTGAGCAAGAAGGTAGCTCAAGCCGGGCAATTGAGCCGAAGACGAGGGCCTTTGAGGGCGCGACCGAGTCAGGAATGATCTAACGGTTGGTTTCCGTGCCACCAGCTCAGCGAACCCAGGAATGCCTCGTCCAGCACTTCAGAGCACCCGCCAAGCAAGCCCGATTGCTCCCAGGCCCAAGGATTGACGGCAACCCGCAAGGGACCCCTCTGGCGCAGGGAAGTGCCTGCGCCGTCGGCGCGTCGTCCGAGCGGGCACGCCGGCCGGAAGCTACCAGTCTCCACGCGATACTAACCGTTCCCTGCAGCGAAAAAGGGACAACTCAACCCGCCGGCCGCCAAGAGCAAGCGATGATGAGGGAAAGTGGCGCGGGCGCTGAAAACAAAACGACAAACACCCATCCCTCTTCAGAGGCCCTCTCTCTCTCTGCCAGCCGTCTGTCTACTATTCGTTGCCTACGTATAGAGCTATTGCCAGTGCTCAGTTTCTGCGCCGGCGGATGGACCTCCGCCCCGCAGACCGTCCAGCGGCAGGTCATCCCCGTCGCCTTTTGTTCCAAGTCGCACATCGCGCCGGCCGAGTCGCAACCAAGCGCAATAGAGTCACAGCTCGTACTGTAGCCACATGGCTACAAGGATCGATGGCCTGCGCTCAGTCGCTTGGGAGA